AACCATTTCTTGATGTTATAGAAAGGCAGCAAATTCTTCTCAATTATTTTAAGACCCTGAGTGTTGGTCCGGCTGGGGCTCAAACCCTCGACCTCCAGCACAACAGTCTAGCGCTCTATCCATTGACCTAACCGGGAGGCAGTTAGCTCAATGGTCAATAGAATGATGATAGTGATGATATGACTTAATTTGATTCTTATAAGTAGGTAATATTCTTTGTAAATAATTTTTATCCATTTTATTTGTGTCCCCACATTAGTATGGGATATCTCCCAAACTAGAAGGTTCTTTGACAGGTTAATAAAGTTTCTATCTATCTATCTATCTATCTATCTATTAAGAACTACAGAACAATAACAATGGGGATGTTGGATAAAAACGAAAATGTTTAAGTTGATGATGATGGAATGAGAATGCTAGTGATAATGCTACAGAAACTGTTGTTAGGACTTGATAAGATAACAAGATCAAATGATGCTGCTACTGCTTATAATAAGAGCAATAAAGGGTATTTTTGTGATTCATGGATGGCCTATTTTTTTTTCCCATGAAACCTGAAATGGCTTGTTTTTTTCCTCATGAATTGTGATCTCATTAGTAGCTGTGAACTGTGATTTTCCAAAATAATTCTCAGTGAAATGAGAAAGAAGTATTTAATTCATAATGAACCATGATTTTGGTCGTAATTTCCACAGTAATGAACAATGACTGTGAATTGCGAAAGGACCAATTTATTTTCTGTGAAATGCGATCTTGACTTCCCCCCTTTACCATCCTATATAAAGTTGAAGATGATGCTGATGTGGAGGATGAGTGTGGGGGGGGTACTTCTATTGCATCTATGTTATTGTCATTATCATCATCCTCATTAACATATTTATATCATTGGGAACTAGTAATCTATATACCTCTGCCATGTCATTATGGTTCAACAAATCAAGAACTGGAGCAAGGGCATAGTTATCCTGCATCTGCGACTTGCTGCTTGGTGACAAATCCATGCTGTTGGCTTTATATACAGACCTTGTGTTCACTACAAACCACGCCCATCTAAACTCATCAAAAGTCAAGAAATCTAAAAATGTTTTATCCAGCATAGTTGTATCATATTCAAGATATCCTTTCAGCTCTTCATAAGAATCACGGACAGTTTGGATCTGGGTAACACACTGTTGCTGTAAACTCGACGGCAAAGTGCTAAGCTCTTCGGGCTTGAAGTAAGCAGGAGTGTTAAAAGATGTGGGCAATGTTGTAATGTAAGGGTACCAGAAAGAGCTTTCTCTCTGGAATTTTTCATACAAAATAAAAACGCATAAAATCTGAATCGTTGTCAGGGAATGTTTCGGTTGTATTTTGATGAACGTTTCCAAAATCTGGCTCCTCTCCGCTGTTTTTGTCGTAATCAACATTTTCTCTGGAACAGATATTACTAATTCACCTTCTGAGAGCTTTCTACAAGTCATCAAGCCTCTTCCTGTCTGTCGGAAATACGCTGGACGCAGTTTACCGAAAGAGATTCCATTTCGCTTTGCCCACTTCAGAAGTTCAATGTATCCAGGTTCAAACACTGCTGCGCCCAATTCCCTTTGATAATTACCGTCTCTTTTACGCTTACGCTTTCTTCCAGTTCTGCCATACGATCCCATTCATACTATTTACAAATCAGCCCAAAAATGAAGCGATAAAATTGCATTGTAAGTTCTAAAAATTCTATTGAGGCTCGTCCGCCATTTTGGAATTCCAAAACGTTAGAGTCTGGGTTCTAAAAGGGTTCTTCCATAGTGCATTGCAAACTGTGGAAGGAAGCAAAATAAAAACATGGCGGATTGGTTTCCGCCTCTTTGAAGAGATATATCGAGTCGAGTTTTTTTCGCCAGACATGTCCGTCGATGTTCAGAAGTGGAAAGCTGAGGCTCATGAAAAGGCTGCAAAGACCGTTGCAAATATGCTCCAGGTAAGATCCCTGCTTAGATGTACAACGGTTTTTTCAAGCGCTCACCTGAAAATAGATATTCAGCTGAATTTACTTGAACCCCACAAATATATCGTTGTGAAATTAAAGCTTGGCAAAGCTTGCAGGGCTCCTTTCGCAAGGATCATAAAAAGAGATAACAATTAATATTCTGATCATTTTATATGTTATCAATCATCGTTTTGATTAATTTGATCTACGAATTATTAAGCACTAAACAGTTAATTATTTCAAGGTAAATTAAAACCAAACAAACCAGTTTTTATGATGCCTGATGTCCGAATTTTGCCATTATTTTAGCATCCTGACAGCCTGGACAAAGTGGAACAGTGGAGGCGAAGATTTATGAGAAACAAGGTTTGTTGTAGTTCATCATTGCCAAAGCATTATGTTCATGTTAGCCTTTTTGTGGACTGTGGAACTTGGACGTTTCCTCTTGATCACGAGTCTAGCTTGTCCTCCCTTGATTTTATCCTCAGTAAGATTTTTGTATAGCCCCATACTCTACTGTGCATGTGGATCATTGATAATAAAAAACAGTGGTGAAAACAATAACAATAGTAATGATGATAACAATAATAATAATAATGATAATAATAAAAATAATATTAATAATAATTCTTAAAGAAGGAGGAATAACACAATGAACATTATTGTGCTTCAGTGAGATGTAGAGTAGAGTAGACATCTATGTAATGATATTGTAACACTTATAGTGCACAATTTTAACAATAGATCTATGTTACTAAGGGGTTTTTTTTTTAGAATGGTTTGGGGTTGCACAGAAATATTTCCTTACCCACTGACAGCTTGTGTCAGAAGGCAGATGCACAGTCCTTACAGCTGTAATGAGAAAGACTGCCAGAAAAAAAAGGGTAACTAGTAGTATGCCTGCTAAACCCAAAAGGTGTTAAGGATAGTTTCAGGTCACAGTTCCTTGACCACAGGATTTCAGGGGAATTTAGAAAATGTCATTGCAAAGACAAGGCATTGTGAGTCCGATTAATTAATTTAATTTATTTCACATAGCAAAATTCACTGATTGCCAGATACAATTGTCAACACTTTAGTCCTTTTTTATAACAACCTTTCTAGAAACAGCTGTATACTTGTAAAATGGAAAGGCCATCTATAGAATATGGAGTCATTGAGGACTAAGTTGTGTCCACTTCTTAAAGAAGGAGGAATAACACAATGAACATTATTGTGCTTCAGTGAGATGTAGAGTAGAGTAGACATCTATATTTATACAGGATAGCCCCTTCAGTAAAGTAAACACTGGTATCAACAGGAATCCTGTTACCCACCCATCCCACACCCACCCATCCTACCCCAGGGGAGGACATCCATCACACAGTAATCTCATTTGTGGGAAATTAATGTCTCCTGCCCCTAACTCTGCAGGAGACGGGACTTCCATTTATTCATCCATATGCGAGAAGACTAGAATATCTAACCATTTCTTGATGTTATAGAAAGGTAGCATATTCTTCTTAATTATGTTAAGACCCTGAGTGTTGGTCCAGCCGGGGCTCAAACCCTCGACCTCCTGCACAACAGTCCAGCGCTCTATCCATTGAGCTAACCGGGAGGTGGTTAAAGAGGTTAAAGAGGTTGTCTCACCGTAAATTCTCCAATAAGCTCCTGGGGGGCTTATTTATTTCAGGTACTTTGGGGAGGGGTGGCTTATAAGAGGGGGGAGGGGTAGGGGTAGGGGGAGCTTACTAATTTAGTCCGATGTTCACTACCAGGATACAAAAGGATATGATGTACTGTATTTATTCAAAAATTGCTCTCATTTTACATTTTTTCATTTACCAAATTGGCAGAGTCAAAATCCTCAGTAAAGTCTGATGAGTTGTAGGATTTATCATGATCATCTTGACAACATCAATCAATCAATCACCATAATAAACTTTAAATGACAAACTAAAATTACAGTACAATGAATGAATTTATTGTACTTACTAACGTGTAGTGTTATTTTGAATTTCTTTTTTTTGAGGGGGAGGAGTGGGAGAGCTTAACAGAAGGGGGAGCTCAATAAATTTCTTCATCTAAAGAGGGGGGTGGTTCATTAGAGGATTTATGGTATATTCCAAAGTTCTGCTGAACCGATCATTAATGTTTGGGTAACTGAGTACATATTTGGTCAAAGGGAAGGTAAAGTCTGTTTACGAACCTAATGGCCCATCTGGCCAGTGCTTAACTCTGGTTTCTGTTGCATGAAGTGACTAGGAGTATTTTTACTCCCCCCTGGATGGGATGCCAGTCCATCGCAGGGTTACCCCCAGCATTAAATTGTCGGTACCCATTTATACACCTGGGTGAAGAGAGGCACTGTGAGAATAAAGTGTCTTGCCTAAAGTGTCTTGCCCCCGGCCGGGCTCAAACCCAGACCACTCGATCCGGAGTCGAGCGCACCAACCATGAGGCCACCGCGCCTCCAAAGGGAAAGTGAAGCATATTCAGTGGCATCAGGCATGCTATGTAGAGAGAAGAATATTTTAACCTTGTAAGTAATACTTTACAGGCATCTGCTGAAGCTAGACTTAAGACAGCTGTACAGTCCCAACTGGATGGTGTGAGAACAGGGCTTCATCAGCTCCACGGGTGAGGCAGACCTTGTACATGAAAAAGTCAAATTATAATGCATTATAACATAACCAAAGTAAAGCGCGCTCTCTGATTGGTCAATTTAGCGTCCCCCATTTGTCCATGGGTGTACGCTACTGACGTGAGCAAATGCAAAGACTATGTTTCCGCGCGAGCGCTTGTTTTTTCTGGTCACGTAAGATTTGTTAAATAAAAGAGAACTCTTTAGCTACAATGTATCAATGTTATGTTATAAAACAAATGGTAAACACCACAGCGTACACTATTGAGTTATGGATGCACTTGGGAGGTTTGCGAAGCACTCAATAAGCTAGAGTTGCTCTTGGCTATCACCTCGAGCAACTCTTACGTTTCTTTCATGCTTAGCAACCTTCCGTGTGCATCCATAACTTAATAGTGTACACTGTGGTGTTTACCATTTGTTAATTATAATGCAATCTAGGATATTTTGTAATCCTGAATTTGATCGCAATTTTTTTTTTTTTAATTTGGAGCTTTTTTTTTCCAGTGCTCTTCAAGATATCAAGGAAATTAAGAAGAGGTAGTTATTTATCTTCAGTTATAACAATGTGTGGTGCCTAACTGTTAAGTTGAAATCATTTTGACTAGTTCAGTCATATTTCATTTTTAATTTTCAATTTTGAGAACTTTCAGGATTTAGATTGCCAACCTCAAGTCTAGAGTTTGAAATTGTCAACTTCCAGATTTGTACCATAACAAAAATCAGGGTTTTTAACATTTATCGGTCTTATTAATCTAGTACTGATATACAATAATACATAAATTTAGCTTCTGTTACTGAATTTATTCAGTGGTGTCCTTTTCTTTTAAAAACCCGCTGAAATCTTGATATTAAATTGAACCCTTGAAATTCAAAAACATTTTCACAGAAATTTATGAACTTCCAACAGTTTAATAATTTTCTTTGATCCTAAACAAAATTAATATCAACTTTTTGACAGCATGAATGAAGTTGACTCCATGTGCAAGAATGTGGGATATTTAGCAGACGAGCTGCAGGCCGTCAGGGACTGTCAAATACACCAGAACAGAGTATGTATGTTGTATGTCATTTAACCCTTGACTACACTCCTATGAGTGACCAAGATAAAATTTCTCCTAACAATCTCATTACAAAATCAAGAAGACAAGTGATGAGAATCAAGAAAAATACAATTTAGAGGATTGTCATTTGATCCAGTACAAAATTCTCCAAACTAGCATCATAACAATGGTACAGAAGATAGAAAGGAGAATCAGCAATGAGATCTTGTGGATGAAAAGGTTAAGAGTAAAAGGTTAAGTCTGTACTGGAGCCAAGTGACCAATTTCCAGCTGTACATGTAGCTTATCAAGGTTTCTGTTGCATTGAAGCAACTAGAAGTATTACATAACCAGTGCTTTCAGTAAGACCTGGCACCTGCTGGAGCTCTGGCAGATATTCTGTTGTGAGTTGCCGGGTACATTTTCACCATGCTCAAATCGTGGTCACCATGCTCAAGTCGTACTCAAGTCGCTCTTCAGCAGGTGCTGAACTGAGGTAGCCACCTATTTCAAATCTTATTGAAAGCACTGATACAATTCCTTCCCCCCCTCTCCCAGATGGAATACTACTCCATGGCAAGGTTACCCCCAGCTTTTTATCAGACCTCCCTGACAATTTGCCGGTACCCACCTACACTCAGAATAGAGGGGCACTGTGAAAGAATAAGTGTTTTGCCTGTTAAACCCTTTCACTCCGTCGAGTGATCAAGACAGAATATCTCCTTACTGTATCAATACAATATCAAGCAGACAAGTGATGGGAATAAAGAAAAGTATCACTGAGTAAGGCAGTGTGCTCTAAGAAAAATTGAAGGGAGCCCAATGCTCTGAAACTGTGAAATCCAGGGTGTCCAGCATGTGCCTTTTATGAAAAAACTAAAATTCCTGGGTCACCCGAGAGCAAAAGTAAGGTGCCAGGGGCCACCAGGTGCTGCTAGACCACAGCCCTGATGAGGGAATGATTGGTTGATCCACTACCAAATTCTCCAAACTAACATTGTAAGAATAGTTTAGTAGACAATGGGAAAAATTGTAATTGAAAGGTCTTGAACCTAGACCAGGGTCCAGTGCACTAATCAGTAGGCTTCTGTGACTCCCTTTCTAATTATATCAAGTGTTGAAAATTCATGTTAACTGTAATGTATTGATTTTAGGCAAAATATAGCCTGCAGTGCAGGCGGATTTTGGCAGGGCAAGTGGATATTCCTATCGGTTGTTCAGGCCGCCATCTTGAATTAGAAAAGCAGTGGAGAGTTGGGGCGAGGTAAAAAATTTACCAAGCTAGTGGGAGAGAGAGAGAAAAAATGCAGAAGGGGGAGGGGGAGGGGAGTTTTTCTTCCCTGTCCCCCCACCCACTCCGACATTCTCGCATTCTTGCCCCAATTCTCCCAGTCTGCAGCGAATCCAACACGGCGGCTAAACACTCGAAAGATGAAAACCACCAAAACTGCCTGGCAAAATATTTTTTTACCATTATTTTCTCAACAGATATCTAAGTCCTGTGAACATCTCAATCTCATCTTCACTGTTCCTGAAAGTGTCAAAAAAACAGAAGTATTGATCAATGAAGGAAAACTTCTCCTTGCTCACAAATGGTAACGCACATTACCTTGTATTGACAAAATGGCAATAATTTAACAAACTTTACCATGGATTGTTGACTGAAAATTTAAACTGATAAACTGCTCTTGAAATATAATTATATGAGCACCAAAATACTTTATTTCATAATCAACTTTGAAAAGTTTTGTTCAGTCAGGTTTTGTGCTTGGTTGCGAAAATTTTATTATTAAGTTGAAAACTAAGATTGCAGGCATATGTGCGGCAGAGGATTTTTGCGAAATTGTTACTCATACAGTTGGTGGTTGTTGGAAGTTGAAGTTACCATAATTTCAAACTAGACTTTACTTGTGTTTTTACTTGTCCAAAGACTATTAGTAAGTGTTCCAAGAAAAAAAAGGCAATAAATCAGCCAAGCTTTAACCTGCAATTCAGTCTAAGCTACCTTATTTTTTGTATCAATCTTGATATCCTTGATATCCTTGATATCCATTCGCTCCGATGAAGGGCTAACGTTCGAAACGTCAGCTTTTGTAATTGTTATGGTGGCCAATTTACCATTTCAACTTTGTTGATATATCCAAATTATTTTGATATCCTAGGGTTTGCTGTCCTAATCTAAGGCAACACATCATAAAACATTTTATGGATATATCGATATGGTTTAATTTCCTTCTGTCTGTTACATTTAATTTTGAACATTGTGGTTGTAGTTTATCAGACCTAGAAGCCACTAGAGATGAGCTTCTGCTTGAAGTTCACAAGATGGAGCAGGAAGAAGAGGGTAAAAAATCTGATAAAAAGGTAAGTTTGTTGCAGCATTTACTAAGATTACAATAGATAAAGGGACTTCAAGATATTGTAAATTTTTGCTCTGCTTTGAGCTTCTTTCCTCTGCACCATTTTGCCATGTCAGCATTTTGGTAATCATTCATAATAGACTATCACCTATTAAGTATATAGTGTAGCATAATGCATTGCATTACATAAGATTACATTTTATTCAATAAAGGTACTGCCAGTTTCACTTTTGTCCTTGTACAATTGAGCAGTGATCTGCTGGTTTTAATGGGTGATGATGTCATTACAGGCGTGCAATTGCATTCCACAAAAATTATGTAGAAAAAAGGCAGAAAATGATAGTAACTGAAAGAACCTTTTGAGTAAAGATCACCATAGCTCAGTTGCTCTATTTTCACCTCTTTTTCTCCCAGCCTCTGTACCAATACTTTGATGCTGTCAAGAAATTATCTGTAAGTTATGTGTGTGACTCAGTGATTTTGTTTTCTTTTTCTGCAAGCTACTTACCTTTAAACAAAAAAAAATTTCAGCCATTTAGTGGTGTGTAACTTCCACTTCAGGTGAACTAGCGCTTAAACAATAAACTGATCTGCACACCAAAAACAATTAAAGTAAATAAATGAATGGATTTGTAGGTGAAGATATGAATAGTACTGTAGTAGTCAACTTTATTTAAAGAGGGTGACACACGACAGATATATCTGGTAAACTACTGGCCCTCCATCCTAATAATAGCAAAAGTTTACAAAAATTAAAAATTATGTATATGAAAGATAAAATATAGAGTGTGAATAAAAAGATATCTGTACAAAATTTTTAAGTGAAAAGGTTTATATTATAAATGGTATAATTCATGATACAATCTGACATGAAACTAAAATTTCTAGGTACTAAAAAATGTTTTCTTAGCACAGCTTTAAAGGAGCCAATAGTGTCCTTTTTCTGCACATCCTAAGGAAGGCTATTCCATTGCTTACTAATAATGTTATTTACAGGATATTTGATGGATATCCATGCAAATATTTTTTCAACACAGGATTCTCTTGGCAAACAGTGCTGGGTGGTTTTGGGGAGGGTGCTAAGTACAGTCCGCAGTGACCCCGCTCAGCTAGTGACTGCACTCAGAATTGTTGAAAGGGAAACGAGGTATTATCTGCTTTAATCATGGTTGTACTATTTTTGGGATCAATTTCTTTATTCTCAATAGTCATCTCCAAACATTTTTACTGTTAGTAGAAGTGTGAAGAACTTGCCAAATGAATACATTAACCATATTTCAACTTACCGTATTTACCTGCGTATAACTTGCCAAATGAATACATTAACCATATTTCAACTTACCGTATTTACCTGCGTATAACTTGCCAAATGAATACATTAACCATATTTCAACTTACCGTATTTACCTGCATATAACTTGACCTATTATGACCAAAAAATCAGCCCAAAAAATCACCCTTGACTTATACACAAGACATATACAATGACCTGACCCAAGCAATCCAAACAATTAGCATAACGATTGCCTGAACTCCACTAGGAAATTAAACCAAGTTTTACAAAACCAGTTCTAATTGTGTTTTGAGTTTCATCGGTTTTCAGTGCGTTCTTGATCAACAAAAATGTTTTAATTTACCATGTTTTCAATACATTCTCAGGGATAAGAGAACAACCATTTGGGAAATTTCCATCGGTCTGAATTTTTCTTTATAAACTATAGAAAGGATGAAAATCTGATTTTTGACCTTGATAATGGGGGGTTGACTTATACACGGGTAAATATGGTAGTTGATCATTTGCAGTTTTTCTCCGTACCATTAATTTTCTTCTTATCTTTATTACTAGGAGAAAGTAGGCAATGATCACATTGTGTTTCAAATGACTGAGCTATGGAAAGAAATGCAAAATTTGAAATTGTTTCACCATATCAGAAGCTTTTTAATAATTTATTCATGCATTCTCTACTCACAGAGCTGACAAAAGAGCACAGGAGAAAGAAAACCTTATGGGATTTTCTGTGCCGGGGCGGCCTAAGAAGTGGAGAGATAAAGCATTTAAGGTTCTAGAGGAATCTGTCAGTAACAGGTCAATATGCAGTTATGATAATTCTTGAAATTTTAACGTAATGTCATTGTGGAATATTTGTCATGTGTCACTTAAGATTCCAACTGCTGAAAGTAAGTCACCAGAGGTCAGGGAGATTCAGATATTTCTTTGCTATTCAGCTATACTGTAAGAAAATATCTCCCAGCTGACAGTTTACTGTTCTCAACATGAAACTAAACTCCACGAAACCAAACTCTACACCCCATATGGTCGCTCTAGCATTCGACGACTGAAACACACCTCCAAAAACCTCGTGGTCGTTACATACTCTATATAAGAAATACCGTTCAGTCCTTCTCTTGCGATACTTTTTTGTCTAATGCACACTCAAGAGCGACATAGTATCTCTTTGTTGTTTATTGATAGTGGATCTTACCATCTTCTCCTCTCCCCTCTTTCCCTCAAGTACAACCTAACCTAGCATCTCTGTCCCAGGGTGACTAGTTCCAGGTTGGCTCTGGATACATCACTGTGCTGGGGCCTGGGGCATGGAGGGGGAGGTGGTCCTTGAAAGAAGTGCATTTACATATACATGTACACTTACCTCAAGTGGTGATGACTTGATTTGGGAATTTCAGGTTTGAGAGCCTTGACATGGAACTACAAGATAGACTAGATGATAAGATGTGGTTGGTGAAGCATCTTGAACGCACAAGAAAGCTTGTTTTGGATGATTTGATTGTTGTCAAGGTTTGTTTTCTAACTCACCCTTATGCTGTTAATGCCAAAAGGCAAATATTTCATTATCAATGAGAGGAGCAATTTTAGTACTCAAACTCTCTTGAGGCTTCCCTAACAGTTGGCTCGTACTCGCCTACACTCAGTGGAGAAGGCAGGGGCTTGACACTAACTTTTCAACTTACTATCCAAGTGGCTAGTGACAATGTAGATGTTACAACAATTTCAGTTTGTTTACTAGCCAAACCAGCTAGTGGAAATTGAAAACCACCAAACAAAACTGAATTTCTACGAGGCTGTGGCTAGTTGGCTACCATTAGTGTCGAGCCCTGGAGGGGAACTGTGAAAGTAAAGTGTTTTGCTTGTGAAACCCTTGAGTGATAAGACAGAATTTCTCCTTATAATATCACATTAATGTGAAGCAGACAAGAAATGAGAATAAAGAAAAATTAATAAGGGGAAACATTATTTATTAATCTAATATTAGCAAATTGTCTGAACTAACATCATAGGAAGCATATGGAAGACAGTGAGGAGAATTATTAGTTAATAATTAATGATTAATTAATTAATTAATAAGTACTATTTAATTAAGCATTAGTTATTAATAAAGCTTTAATTATTAATTAAGTATTAATTATTGATTAAGTATTAATTATTAATTAATCATTAATTACATATGATGCACGATCCTCGCAGTAGATAGCGCTATTTATGCAATAGCGAAAATCAGACCTGAAAAAAATCAGGCCTGTATGGGACTTGAACCACTGACCTCTGCGATACTAGTGCAGCACTCTACCAATTGAGCTAACAAGCCAACTGGGAGTCAATCAGGTCTGATTTTCGCTATTGCATTAATAGCACTATCTACTGCGAGGATCGTGCATCATACGTATCTAATACCGCAGTTCAAAATATATGAACTTCATATATTCATTGTATCTCATAAGCATTAATTGTTAATTAAGCATTAATTATTAATTAAGCATTAATTATTCATTATTAATGAGGTCTTGGGAGCAGTGTAGGAGTATCTTTGAAGAGCAAGTGCTTGGTGCCTCTGCTTTATGGTTGATATTGTGGATATTTTTTAGGCAGAGAAATTGAACTTCTATCACTTTTTTACAGTAATATGCTCATTTTTGTTCGCTATAGAACTTGTGTCAAGCCTGCTTCCCTCCAAGTTACAACATATTTGATCGCTACATTGAAATGTATCACAAGGCATTGTCTGTTATGGTAAGGTGCTTAGAAATTGCTTAAAGCAGTAAATCTATTCAATATTTGCCATTTGATTTGAACTGGAGTATTTTTAAATATGCAGTTTCTTCCCAATTTTTAAGTCACTCTCTGCTATGGTAAGGTGCTTAAAAATCGCTTAAAGCAGTAACTATTTAATATTTACCATCATTTGATTTGAACTTGAGTATTTTTAAAGATGTAGTTTCTTCCCAATTTTGTATGTATAAAGACAAGACATGGTAACGTTCACTTTGTTGATTTCAATTTTGCCAGTTGGAGAGATTTGTTCTGGAAGAAAGACTGGATTCGAATGAGTGCATCAGCTTGTTGACATGGATCAGAGAATACAAGTAAGTGGAGGAAGGGAAAATTTCATAAGAAACATTGCTAATTCCACACCTGTTACTTCTGGACCTAGTTTCTGGTGCAACTCACCAACTAATTCTCCATTACCCCAATCTCTTCCCCCTCACCTCCTCCTCACCTCCCCTCACCCCCAACATTCCTCTCCTCACTGAAGATTTAGATCTTCCTTGTTCCAGTCCCTTTAACGAACTTTACTAACTATTTAATATTGATTGTTAAGAACTCATTTTGTAAGCTTCGGGCTTGACTTTCCACGGGTGAAGGGCCAAGCCCAAAGAATATGGAACCTTCATTGTAATGGCTCTTTTAATTCATGTTCACTCAAGACCTCTCTACTACTTTTCATAGGAATTTTTCCTGTAGTGTTTTTCTGAACCATTTATTAGGACTCGATTTGACTGCATGTGCCTGCCTGTTAGTTACATGTTTTTTCCATCAGGGGAACTGATCTTCTGATGCATCCTGAGCTGCAGATTGATGTTGGATTTCTGGGTCCTCTGTTGTTGCCTAAAGTTGAGCGGGAACTGCAAGACACGTAATCAGACCTTCAATTTTTGATATGTAAAGTTCTTTCCATTTTTTTTTTTATTGATGCACTCTTCGTTGTAATTTGCTCGCGCTGTCTCGTCGCCTATTTATACAGTCTGAACGAACGCCAAAAATCCAAATCCAAAATAATCACTAGTGTAAATCGAAACAAAGGGGAATATTACCAGGGCCAACAGGGACTCGTATTTTAGGTGAGTAGAAACGTGAATCGCATGTGGTTAAGTTATGAATGGCGTTATTTTAGTATTTGATTGGGATAATTTCCATCACAAAATTGAAAGTTGTTTTTTTTTTAGTGAAGATTGGATAGTTAGAAATAACTACTATGTTATCACGATTAATTCATCTCCTTTTTCATTAGGTACCGTAGGACCACCAAAAACAACATGATGGAGTGGATGAGCAGGCTAGCCAGTACAGATCTACAGGTGAGTAATTAACGTTTGTGGCAACGAAGCAGATCGATCAAGAAATGGTTAGATATTCTAGTCTTCTCGGATAGGGACGAATAAATGGAGGTCCCGTCTCCTGCAACTATTAATTAGTTAATCTGGTTAGGCAGGGGACGTTAAAGAACCCACTTCACGAGATTACTGTGATGTGGTCTGGCCTGGTTACTGGGAATAGGGGGGAGGGGGCATCTGTTATATTCGCTTTTCATTTGATTGTAAACTGCTTAGCAGTCTGGTAAAGTCCCCCGTACAGTGTTGTAAAGCACCATGAGTTTAAGATATGAGCGCTATATAAATACAAGTTATTATTATTATTATTATTATTATTATTAAGTAAGTTTGATGATTTATTGCGTTCTCTTTTCAGGACTGGAACAGTGAAGCGCCGCCAGAGACGGACATGGAAGGTTTTTACAACACGTCACTTCCAGTTTTCCTTTTTAAAATGATCGATCAGAATGTAAGTTATTATCTCAGTCTTGCAAAAAAAAAAAAAAAAAGACTTGACAATTTCTATTTTCTCGTTTTTGTTATCGTAGCAAACATTATAATTTCTTGTTTACAGCTCCAAGTTGCGGCAAAGGCCGGAGAGGAAATTAAACTAAAGGTCAGCTCACGTGTGTTCGTCTTGGTAACATAGAAATGAATTATTTGCTGCAATAAACGTAAAATTCTAAGAGGGCATTTCAGTTTAGTGCTATTAAACCAAGACCTTAGTGGTCGCAACAAGATATTAAATCTCTTGTGATTTTTCTTCTTTGATCAGATTCTGGAAGTTTGTCTGGATTCTATGGAAGCTTTTCAGAGGGAATATAAAAGTAAGTTATTTAGATTGTTAAGTTGAGTTTTTTTTGGAACAAAGAATAATATTATTCGTTGCCACAGGGGCTGAACAATGAAATGCTTCGTCTGAGGGTGTGTGGTTAACAACGTGGGCTCAAGCGTGTGAGGACTAAAATTTAGCAAAATTAGCGGAAAGTGATAATGGCTTACATTTATAAAACCGATGCATTTTGTTATTGTCAAAGGCATTTTCCTATTTCCAAAGTTTTTGAGGAGATAATTAAGTTTTGAAAACTTTTAGGGAGTGTACAAAGATTTTGGAGATTGTTCTGTGAAAGAAAGTGGCAAGGAAAACGACATCAGGAAGCAAAAGAATAGAAAATCAACCAAGCAAATGACTCAAAATCTGTTTTCTGTGACAAAATTTAGCGCGTGCACATATGTTATTCAGCTCTGTCATTCGTTGTGGCCTACAATCACTCGCACTTCTTTCATAGTCTTTGAGGTTATAAACTATTACTCGTGTGAAAGATAATAATGTTGAACATGCAGTTTATTGATAAAGTGTGTTTTGATCTGTAGGTAACATAAAAGTTTTTAAAAGTAAACACTTTGAAGACAGAATGCAGCCTGTTAGATTTGTGGAATACATGGTAAGTTTGCTATCCTTAGTTTCTAAAACTAGGATTAAAGAGGTCTATTGGTTGTAATATGACATGATGTGGGTGTCCCAAACTCCACACAATTAACATAGTGTAGTTGTAACTTTTCCCTGTCGCTTCTTCTTCTTCTTCTTCTTTTCTTTTTTTGTGTCTATGTGTTTTGTGTCGTTTCTACCAATGCTTGTGGTGCAGTAATGAGTATTTGAGTATTTAAGGATTTGTACAAAGTACTGGAGCAGAAACAATAGGACATGGGTCCTCTATGGGGTTTAAGCTCCAACAAACCCACCCATCCCACCCCAGGGGAGGACATCCATAACACAGTAATCTTGTGCGTGGGAAATTAATGTCTCCTACCCCTAACCCTGCAGGAGAAAGGACCTTCACTTATTCGTCCCTATCCGAGGAGATTAGAATATCTAACTATTATTTTCTTGATGTTATGGAAAGGAAGCATATTTTCTCAATTATTTTAAGACCTTGAGTGTTGGTCCGACCGGGGCTCAAACCCTCGACCTCCCGCACAACAATCCAGTGCTCTATCCATTGAGCTAACCGCAAGGCGGAGTAAGTGTTCGTGTGAGTAAAAGAAAAAAAATGACTTTTTTTATTAATTGGTCCGAAAGATTGTGGCCTGAAAGAAGATTAAATGCAAATCACCGTTAACGCATAAGAGTCACAAAAAATTGAGCGAGTGTGGCCAAGGGTACACAGTACTATAGTCATCGAGAGCATATCTGGATCACCAAGATAGAACGAGTGTCATAGAGAGTGTGCGAGGATCGCCAAGAATGCTCGAATGGGTTGAACTATTCGCCAGTCCTTTCCATTAACTTTCGTTGCTCCTTACATGTTCCAAATTGAATGTACAGTTTCAGAGAAAAGAACAGTGGCTTGTGGAGTCCCACAGGGCTCTGTGCTTGGCCCATTGTTATTTTTGCTATATGTTAATGAAATCTATGATGCCTCTGAGAAATTTAAATTTAATTTGTTTGCTGATGACACCAATCTCTTGTATGGCGATAAAAATCTTAAGTCCTTATAGAGACTATAGTTACAGCGGAGCTGTCAAAGGTCTGGGATTGGCTTAATGCCAATAAATTATTGCTTAACGTTAAGAAGTCTAACTTTGTTATTTTTCAACCCAAAGGACGTAGATCTAATCATCCAGTTAAAATAAAATTAATAGACAACAACACTAACTCTTCTACTTATCTTGAACAGAAGGTAGATGTGAAATATCTAGGAGTTTTGATCGATAATCGATAATTTGATAATCGATAATCGATAATCGATAATTTGATCGATAATCACCTTACGTGGAAACCACATATTGATTATGTTACTACCAAAATCAGTAAAACTATTGGCGTCATTGCGAGACTGAGACATTTTGTTCCCCAGAGTGTTCTCCTCACCTTTATAGATCTTTAATCTTCCCGTATTTGTCTTATGGCCTTATTGCATGGGGTCAAGCTACTATATCAACTTTATATTATAAGATTTTGGTGTTACAGAAACGTGTCATATGCCTTATTCATTTCCTCCCATGCAGAGATCATTCTCTTCTTTTCTTTGTGACATCTAATATTCTACCGGTAGAGCTACTCTATTTCGAAACTGTCTCTGTTTTCATGCATGATGTCTCGAATGACGATGTAACGGAAAACCTCTGTGACTCCTTTACTCGCTCCAGAAAAATACTCTCATATAACACCAGATCAGCTTCTGCTGGAAATTTTTATGTTAAACCCTCTAGATTAAACCTTATGCGGAATTCTGTTGCTAGATTTGGAACTGTCCTGTGGAATTCTTTAGTATCACTACACGTGATCTGACTCGTAAACAGTTTAAGGAAAAAATCCATAGTGTAATTCTGAATATCCTGGCCGTTGAGGATAACTATGTCGATTTTGCATCTCTTCTCCAAAAAATTTGCGGCCTATGATATCTTCTCAAGCCTCAATTGCTCCTTGTGCCTGAAATTTTGTATGTTTATATTGTCTTGTGAATTTATTTAATTAATTTAATTATTTTATATATTTGTGCATTTATTTGTCTGCTGTTCTTTTTCTTTTTTATTTATTCTTATACTTAAGCTGTAATGATCTTTTCATTTATAATTTGCATTTGACTCTTAACAAATTGTTGTCACTGCCCGCCACGATTAGCCTGTGCTACTTACGGGCAGTGTAAATTATGTAAGGTTTTTCTTTTTCTTTATTTTTCTTGAGTAATTTTTAATCACTGTAACCCCCCACCCTAATGCGAAATAAATTGTTGTTGTTGTTGTTGTTGTTCCATACATGTGATTTCATAGCATTAACTTTGCTATTGTGTTGTACACGCTACACTGTTCTAAAGTTTACATTTGAGTTTATTTTACTCTTCGTTGCCAGGTTGCGATCGTAAACAATTGCAAAGCGTGCATGGACTTTACAGATCAACTCAAGGTTCGTTTTAAGAGATTAGAACGCTTTCTGATTGCGTGTCGTGAAACTAAAGCCAAAATAATCACAACAGCACATCAGAAGAAAGGGAAATACTCTAAGGGGCCAATGAGAACTCAAACTGCTTAAAGCGCAGTTGACCAGGTTGTGATTGGTTTTAGCTTGCATCTGATTGGTTGTGAAAGTGGCATAAGGTTTCCGGGTCAATCACTGAGCGAAGGCTTGGGCTAAGCGCGCACAAAAAGGAGTAGATACAAAGGCTAGGAAGTGTTCGTGTGTAATCTACGCGAATACATGTTTTTGTCCTTATTTTTACAAACTTTCCACTCTTGCTCATACTCTGTAGGAGCGGTTAGTGGCTGAACTTGGCCGCGCAACGTTTGGAGAAGATAAAGAAAGATTATTTAAGTCTGTCGTTGACTGCTTTGAAAAGATAGGAGAAGAGAGGTTTGTGCCCTGATATCAATTTGATTTGCCAAAATGTTTGTTACTAGTAAGAAGGCTTTCCAATATAGTATCGTAAAGCAAAACCCAATTGTAACAGAGGAAATATTATTTGGGAAACTGCTGGCAACTCGAAATGAAAAAAAAGTCAATGTTCTGATTCACGGGAAAAGGCCATTGGACAAGGTGGCTTTGACGTGGACTAAGTGTAACCAATGACAGCCATTCTGAGTGAAGCCTGGGAAAACACATTTGACCATGTCGCTATTTGTTCAGCTGGGCTTGTATCTCGTTGATCAAGGGGTCGTTCAAGTTTTTCAGTTTATTGTATTCATTAATTTTTGTACCAAAATGAAATATTATTTTAATCCTCAGTGCTGGATACCTCTTGGATGAAGTTTTCCTGGATCTGGAACCTTTCTTTGCACAAATTATGACTCCTACGTGGTATGATATTTCATCTCCATTCTAAGTTGCCATCATAGAAAGAAAACTAAAAATTGCTTCTGTGGCGAGCTCCATATTTGAAATTGATTTAAAAGATTGAAACCTTTGACCTTTCGACTTTCCATCAAATGCTGTAACACTGGCTACAGAAGACCAGTGTGTTAGCCACGCCATAATCTAATTTCCTGTTTCAAAAGCTTTCTTCATACACTGACTGCAACATCAGTGTGGAGAGCGCTTTGTTTGGCAAAAGAGAAATATAAGAAGCTGACAATTTTAGCACAAATTGCTCTTCAAGGAGAGGAGTTGAATCTACTCCCTTATGTCATTAGCACTTCCATTTTTTTGATGTCACATTTCATCTTAAGTATGGCTGAAATTCAAAAAGCACAAGAAAAAGTGCCGGACTGCAAAGGCTATACTAACACATTGTTTTATCATTTGTCTGATTTGATCGAATTCTACTTTCTAGGGTACCAAACCCAGAGGCTGTGGACACGATAATTGTCACGATAGAGGATTACTACAATGACTTTTTACACATAAAAGACAAGTAAGGTTTACCTGAATGTTTCGTTGATAACTTCACGGAGTTTTAGTACTAACGGCATGATGCCTTAACAACGTCACTCATACTGAGGTATCCATCGTACCGTTGTCATCATGATGAGAAAATGACTGTGTCAATGTTTTGTCAAAAGTGGTGAAAAAACTTGAAAATGCCTTGAAATGAGTCAGCACATCATAAGAATGTATGAACATGGACCAAGAAAGTGAAAGCAAAAATGCAAGAAAGTGAAATGAAAGTGGTTCAAACTAGTCTCTGATGAAGGGGAACACTTGATGACTGTTTGGTTTTGCCTATTCTTATCATTATTTGAGTAAGCCTCCTTTTTTTCTGATAGATTTTTCGATTACCTCATGGAACAAGCTCTGAAGAAAGTGCTGCTAGAATATGTCCGTGCAATGCTGAGCAAGTATGTGTTTCTTTTCTTTTTTTTTTTTGTGGACTTAGCTACTGGTGTTGCCGTCTTGTTTTCAAAATGCAGGAGTGTTTCAGATTTTCATGATGATCGGTGATCATTTACCATTTGGCTGTGACTGTCGAAGACTTAATTTAACGCGTGGTGTGAACGCGACATAAAAATGTGTGAACTTGACATGTAAATGCGTGAACTTTTAGTTAGTACGTCGGGAAAATGCATGAACACGGGCTACGGTGCGGGAGAATCTGGTACACTGACGTCTGAAAGTTTCCTGATGTGTATCTCAATTTCTGAGACAGCAAGGAATTGTGTAAAATCCCTGCTAGTCTGGGATTTTTCTGACACAATAAAGCCAGCTGTTAGGAGGTTTTTTTTTATGTTTAAGGCGGACGGCCGGGCCCCTGATGAAGGGAGGTGCAATGCCCAGTATACCCCTACTTAAGTTTCACAAGCTTTTTTTTTTATTATTATTATTTTTCCAAGACGTATGGTATTCAAGGATTATGAAGGAAGGAGAGATGCAGCAAAAAAGATCACGGAGGAATCCAAAAAGATTGAGAAACTCTTCAAGAAATTAGCTAAAGCTACTTTGCAGCCAGAAACTCTTTGCCCAGTCCTTACCACACTTGCTGAGGTCATCAAACTTCGGGATACGTCCATGATGGCTCTTGAAATTTCGGTAACTACAAATTAAGATGTTGTCATTTTTGGGTTTGAGATAAGTTGTGCTGGTTTATTTACTTTAATTTGTAACCATCATCAAGATAAACTTAAGGTAATTTCATAAATGTCCATCAGCTGTATGTCTTGTATATCCATTTTTACTAAAGATCGTCAGTTACCCAATTATCTCTTGTGAATAATTCTTGATTGTTTTGTGTTGCACACAGCTTATGCCTGTTTTTATTAGACTTTTACTAAGAGATACATCATAGGGTCAACCTCTAGTTTTCCTTTTCAAGATATTTTATAACATTTGTTACTTCATCTCGAAAAAGTATGTTAGCTTTTGAATTTATGTTATGTAATTTTTCAAAGCTCACAGTTGTGTAAGTATGTTTTAATCCAAAAGTTTTGAGTTCACTATGTCTGTTGCTTTTCTCCTCAGGGAATTGCCAACAAGTACCCAGACTTTAAATCTGACCACGCCTTGGCCCTGTTGTTGATGAGGGGAGATCTTACCAGGGCAGAGGCTAGACAGGTATGTGGATGATTAATTTCTAACAGTACTAGACAAAATCTCTCTATTCACACCTCTGAGTAAATTAACTTGAGACATTGTGTATCAGTGGTTAGCTTGCTGTTCTCGTAATCTAGGATTCAAGCCCTGATGTTGTCTTCCTCTGCTGAGGAAATACTTGGGTACCAGAAAATTCTTGGGGAAAATCTTATAAATTGTGGGTAGGTTACCAACAATGAATAAGCATCCTTTTCAGGCTTTGTTTGGTCGAAGGACAAGTAATGCTAGATCCACTAGATAAATCTCTCACTGGTGGATAGTACCGTCATTTCGTGCATTGGAAATTGGGATGAGTTGTAGCAGTTTTTGGCCAACAGGCTTTCAGTTCTCAACGTGAATGTTAATTTTTTTTTTGTCATTATCTTTTTTAGTTAATTATGGAAACTCCTCTTGAAGGAAGACAGGATACTCCAGCTGATGATCCTGCTTCATTTTTCACACAAATTATTGTGCCACCATCTGTGCTGGACAAGCTGGAAACACTTAAGGAATCAATGATGAAAAAGAAATGAAATTAGTATTGAGTCAGCATGTAGCTCTTTAATCTTCTTCACTATGTGCATCAAAGAAGGAATGGGTTTGTTTTTATATTAAAAAGGAGTTTGAACATATAACATGTATTTTGGGCCCTGGACATTTATCTGCCACTGTTTTATTTTTTGTTGTTGAGATGCCGTTCGCAATAAATGTACCACAAAGTCGTTATCAGAATGTAGAAATTGTTTATTAAAGATGGTTGAAGTGTAACTGAGTCTGTATTGAAATACTTTATGAAAATGAAACATACAGTGTAGTTGATGTTAACATACCGGTATTTGAAGATGTTAACATACCTGTATTTGAAGCCGTTAGGGACCTTTCTTGCAGCCCCTAAATTTACATATTACCAGTTAGTCTATGGGCCACTTACTATAGCTAAAGCTTATCTAGCTTCCCTCAGCATTTAGTGGCTTAAGACCCTCCAACCCTTTCTGCTTTCATTCATGTTCTTTACGACAGTAAGCTGGTACCCATGATCTGTTACAGTGGCAGATAAAGTTTTTTCGACAGGGCCCTACTATTCTGAGGGCTTCATGTTTTATACATCAGAGCATTACATTTTGGTGACTATAATTTAGGATGAGATATACATAGTTATGAATTTGTAATGTTTGTGAGATATGATTTATTGCCCATGATTTTGTGTGAAGTTGGTGATGCAAGTTGCAAGAATTCGAATATGCACAAAATATCAGGTCACTAACTAAACTCTGTGTCTTCTGCATTTTATTAAAATCAACTTTTTCAATATTAAAGACAAGCAAAAACCAATGATAAAAACAGACGTTTCGGTGTCATCATGACGCCACTGTCAAGGAGAAGTAAAAATTACAAAGTTTGTGGCAAGGTGTAACACTAAATTAGCATAAATATGTTAGGCGCTAATTATACAAATACTTTTGCGTGAATTGAATCGCATTGCAATATTGACCAGTGTAAAACTCTCAATTGACACGACAGGAAAAAATTACTTAGGTGAATTACTCATCTGTTACACTTTGTTCTCTTAACATCAAAGGACAGATTTATTCTTTGACCAATGAAATCCTGTCTCTGATTGACAGATGGCATCATACATTTGAATGGGCTTCTTGAAAACTAACATAAGGAAAGCTTTAAATTTCATTGACAGAATTTTTATTACAACTTCATTCTAAATGAACAATTGAAACTTTTTAGAGATATTCCTAATGAATTGAAGGAACTTAACTCCGTCATGATTTTTAACACTCGTATTTTAGAATTCTACAGATCACAAGCTTTTTAACTACTTTTAAAGTTGGTGTCTGTATTTGAGTTTTTATGTTTTTGTTGCAGGGCCCTTGTTGATATCAGCTTTTTATGCTGAAGAGGTCACCCTGGTTAAATAAAATTTATTACTGTATACTCAAACAGTGGATAGCGTTGAAGGTGCGCTCTGATTAGCTGGCCAAACTCTGAATATCTTTTGCTATTTACCTCCGAGCAACTCAGGGAAAAATGGCATCCTGGTTTGCATCTGTGACAAGCGAAGAAATCACTCAAATTAATTTTTGATGGTGTATAATTTATCTCACTGTTCTGGTATATTCTAAAACAACTATTCACCTCAGTGCCAGTGATTAGCAGTGATTATTTACCTCGCGGCTTGTTAAGTATCTACTCCTAACCACCTCCACTTCAGTGAATAGTTGTTAATTATTGTTAGAAACCTTTGGATTAACAAGCCCCTCAGACTGATTGACAATTTGTCAAACATAACTCAATGAGCTGAAGAGGCAAATCAGGGATTTGTTTTGGGTGGTCTTAACCCTGATTTAGAAAACACAGAAATTTTCACTTACTCCAGAGCATAGTAAGCAAATAAATGTGTCAAAATAAGTGAGCAGTAACATGCCATCCAGTCTTTGAAGAAAGTTTGGTGTCAGAGAAGTTGTTAAAAAGAAACCTTACAGGTATGCCCCCCCCCCCTCCCATACCAGTCCTCTAGATCACCAACTGCAATTACAGTCAAACCTCCATTATCTGGACTCGTCAGGACTTCCGTAAATAGTGCGGATAATCTAAAATACGAATATTAATGAGATACAAATGTAAAAAAAGGTATACAGCAAAGAAAACATCATTTTAACTGTGAAATCTACACAGCCTGTATGTATTTACTCCCGAAGAGCTTTCAAAAAACTCTTTAAGGATATGTTATTTTCGTTCCTGGAGGCTGAGGATTACTATGTTGAATCGCCCCTCCTATTTCAGAAAATTACTAAGGTAAAGGTTTATTTCACAAAGAAATACATGGCAGCCCTCTATGGGGCTGAATTGTGTATTTATGAAAATTGTAACAGAATATCTAATAGTATGACTAATGTAAGAATAATAATAAGCCTAAAAGTGAAATTGAATACTGTAAAATGATGAAACCTATCATTAAAATTAATAAAGCTATATTTATATAATATCATGCTCAATACAAGATTTCCTTAAAAATGTGTCCCTGAACCTATTTGTAAACTGGTTTTATAATTTATATAAATTTACTATTTTCTTATGTTTAATGATGCAGTTGTATATACGAGTTTTAAGGGGCTGTCTTTTTCTGGAAATGTTATTAATTTATGTTTAAGCTTTATTTGCCCTCTATCACCACTGCTGTACCTCTAATTCTCGCAAACCTCGACTAGCTCCTGCTATTTGCGGGCGTGAACGGTCTTCATGAACATGAAAGTACAAATTAGATCAATAATAATTAGATTAATTAGATTTACAATTGGGACCAGAGAGAAAAGTTTGGATAATCGAATAGTCCGCATAATCGAGGTTTGACTGTATTCTCCTTGTCAGAAAAGAAGGGGGGGGAAACTTCTTTAGCGCCTCCGGCTGGTTTTCGTGAGTACTTGTTTCAGTGTGATTGTTTCATCTCTTGGGGTAGACAGTTTTGGGCATTTTGAATGCTGATTTTCTGCCGGGTGGTTGGGCGTAATTCCATGGATAGGTGGCATGTGTTATAGGGGTTAGGTACGTGTGCTTCTTGATAACGACTCTTCCCAGCTGACTGTACAAAAACTGACTTTCTGGGCCCTTGAAAGGAAAGACCAACAATGAGGTCGAAGCTGATACGGTGGACGAGTTACTTATGGCACACAAAACTCAAAACGAAAGGTTAATAGGTCTTAAATTTTTTAAGAACAACAGCGAAATCTACAATTAATTAATCAGATGCAAACACAGGTATAAAAATGAGTGTCTTTCCCTTTCTAATGCAATATTACCTTGTGGTCTTTATTTGTGTGCCTTGGTAACGAGCGATTTTCGGGTTTTTCTGGTTTGCTTTCCTGCCTTTGATGAGCTCTGTAAGTTCGATCACATATGCCTTCTTCCTCGGTCATGATCCTGTTTACTTTGTCGACAATTTAGGATCTATAATTTGAGAAGAAACCCTGCGAAGAAGAGCATTACGTTTGAGTTGGATCACTTACTGTAAACATACAAAAGTGCCAGGCGACTCTTGGACCCAGTCTTCAAGGCGCGTTGTCAAGATGGCGGGAAGTTTACATATTGAATTTATCGCTCCCAGGATTTTACTCGCTGAACTTAAAATTTGGTACCTCTATGCTTCAGATGGGAAGGAATCAGAGTGTAGCTTGGAGAATTTCTAATGGAATCATATTCTCTGCTAGAAAAACTAAAAGAGACCATAAAAAGAGATTTTCAAGGTATGGCGTTTATCTTGCGCGTAAGCAGCAACCAAGCATTATTACGATGAAAGACAATATATGTTCTTCCTTATGGGTCCAAAAACTTTAAACTATCATATAAAACAACGCTGGAAGAATATAAAACAAAGGGCGTGGGAGGTGAATAATTCTTCTCATAAAAATCAATATCACCTTATTTTCTCTCAAACTCATTAACCCTAAAAGTCCTGCAGTTGTAAAGATAATCAGGTGGGATAATGCTGGGTTCACAATAACCTGAATCTCCTTGAGTTAAACTGTACCCGTTTGGTATAACAATTCAGTCCGTTTTGTATACAAGTCAGTGTGCACACAGACTTTTCAGGCTTGTTATCCATTTTTGATATTATCTAGATCTTGAAGAGAGATATGCAGAATCTGATAACAGGATTCAAAGCTTGGAGAAACAGAACACTGAGATAAAGGAGCTGGTCCAACAACTCAGAGATGAAAATACCATGTAGTGAATACATCTTAAGCTTTCTTCTTAAACTTTATTATTTTAGTTGCAATGACCTTTTCAGTCGTAAAAAGGTTCCTGGGTCAAAGAAGTGGAATCCAGGAGTGTTTTATGACAATCACAGGATTTTAAATTTCAAGGCTGTCGAGATGCAAGAATTGCAGAGATTTAGAAACTTTGAGAATTTTGAAATATTTTCAGAAGACAATTAACTCCATTTTCTGCAAGTTTAAAACTTACAAGGGACAAAGAACCTCAAATTCTTTCACTTGATTGACTTACTGTTATCAAATTTTGCTAGTTAGTTTTGTGTTAGTTTTTCTCTCACCTATCATTTTTTTAGCATATTTACATTTGAGCTGCAATATATGTTAATAGTTATTTATAAGAAAATATTTTTCAGACACTTATTCTGTTTTTTATTATTTAAAAAAAAATGTTTCAAGTCTTAAAGAAAGCTTGGCAAAAGTTAGAAAGGAACTGGCGTACAAGGATGAAAAGCTAAAAAGGTGAGGCTGAAAGAGTCTGGAAATATGTATGGTACAGGGCTTGACACTAACTTTTCAGCTTACTAGCCAAATGGCTAATGACATCTTAGATGTTATGACAATTTTAGTTTGTTTACTAGCCAAACTGGCTAGTGGAAATAAAAAACCACTAGCCAAAACTTAATTTCTACTAGTCTGTGGCTAGTGGGCTACTGTTGGTGTTGAGCCCTGTGGCAGGTTCTTTGTGATCCTCTCAAATATATTTTGTATCATTTAAGTTGGTTCAGTTTAAAGTTAAAGATCAGAGAGATAAACTGTGGTGTTCACAAGAAGATCTGTGAAAAGAGGTACCAGTTTTTTGAGGCAGGTATAGATGTACCAAATGGATATTTTTTTTTTTGAAAGTTGTCACATAGGTTCAGGTGTTGGACTTTGCGATAGGGCCAATTTTTGTTGACTAATCTTGCCCTACCCCTTCCCCCACCTGTGTGCTTGTCTTCTTACATTCAGTTTCTTAATGATAATATTTCAGGAAATATGAAGAACTGGGTAAGAAAGAACAATGGTGGGACCAATTCCGAGATGAAACTCAGCGAAGATTTAAAGGTTGATTTTAAGATACATGATACCACTAAGGCCTTATAATGGTCAGGAAATTAGATATTGGGTAAAAACTCTTATTTTCCTCCATTCTTTGATTATGATTTTCCATTTTGCAGATACTGTAGTCTTGCTATAGTTCTTACCTTTTTCCATGAATCCCCAGAAACAGATTACAGTACCATGATTAAATGAGTCAAAAAAATTCTGTATAATTGAGCTACGGTGTCATTTTATTCAATGTCTTGTTGGAGATTGAAATGGAATGGTTATTTGAATACAACTTCTGCTTAAATGTTCTTTCCTTTTATTTTGATTTACAGCAATGAAATCATATGGAACATTTCCTCCACACATCCTTGAAAAATATGTAAATAAGGATATTTTCCAGGAGCTGATGTGAGTTGAAGAATGTGATTACTTAGTTTACCCTTTCACTCCCAAGATCTTAGTCATTGTGCTAATTCTCCTTACTGTCTGTAATTATTATTATTTATTTATTTATTTATTCCTCCAATCCCTAAATATTACATTACAATGCTTAAATTATTTCGCATGGAAGAAAAAAATGGAGAGAGAGGAGAGGGGCACATCTATATAAACTAATATTGTGCCCCTTAAAGTTACAAGACTTGAGTTTTATTAAAAAGAAAAGAGGTAAAAGAAAATATTTTGGTGAATTATGAGGAAGATAATGTTTCACTAGTATTGAGCAAGGTACCAGCGCAAAAGTGCTTTTCTAAATATTTTTTTAGATTTACTGTCTGTAATACAGTTCTTATGATGTAAGTTTGAAGAATTTGGCTTTTGATGACTTATCATCCCCTAATTGATATTTTTCTTTATTCTCATCACTTGTCTGCTTGATAATGTATTGATAATGTAAGGAGAAATTCTGTGTTGGTCACTCAGGAGTAAAAGGATTAAGCATCTAAGAAAACCCTAGACATTTTCCCTCTGTCATTGCTTGGCAGAACAAGTTTCTGCTAGGTAAAAGCAACTTCATTAAATAATTTGAGGGGAGAGAAGTGCCAACAAGGAAATCTGTAATGAGTAATTAGGTAATAAATTTTTCTCTTTTATCTGAAATTTTTTGCATCCTTGGCTAACATTTATTTCCTTATTGTCGATACCATCATCTTAGCGTTTGCTATGGTACCAACTAGCAGATTATATTTGACAATCAAGAGCTTCTTCAGTCAGCAGTCATTTCCTATATTCTTGCATCTTAAATGTTTGATTTAGGGGTGATGCTGTAAGGAGAAATTTGATGCTAGTCACTGCAAGGGATTAAAGGATTATGAAGGTGTTTTGAATTTGTGTTTTCAGAAATAATGCTCCAGCTAGCTCCTCCTTACAGAAAGAAGATCACCTCATGATCAGGAAAAAGAATGGCAAACTCTCCACCCTTAAGAGCAAGAAGAAAGTTAGATACAACAAAGTGTCACCGTTACTGTCACAGTCAACTGCTGTGGAAGGTATGACAACAAATTCTCAAGACAAAGATAAAATGTATGTCAGTGAAACCGAAGAAAAGGAAAAACTGATAACAGAGGATGATGAGGTTTGTCCTGATACCAATGAAAGCACAAAACTGTACCATTATTCTCCACCTGATCAAAGGCAAGTTGGTGGCATTTCTGCTCAGCAGGAGGTTCTTGTTCCAGAAAGTGAAGATATGTACACAGAAGAAGTTGGTGATGGCTTTAGTTGCTCAATAGGGGCACCTTCTGCAACAAGTACACCTCGTGCTGCAGCCAGCCCACTCCCTTTTGACTATGATAATGTTGACAATTGTGATGATGATAATGGTGATGATGTGAGTGTGGGTGTTCTAGATGTTCCAAAACAATTTCCACAGGATGACACTGTGGATATTTTGACAAATGTTAAGTCAAGGTTAGCAAATTTGCCAAAATCAGATTCACAGTTTCCAGTGGACTTGTCATACACACAACCAGAATCTCCAACAATTCCAAGCCGAACGTGCTCTCTGCAACAAGACATGAACCTGACAGCTGATTGTTCAGTGTTTCTGTTGCCTCATGAAATCAAAACTGAAGAAAAGCAAGAAGGAAAACACAATTTTGATTCTAAAATGATCAAAGACAATGATAAAACAGGATTTGTTAATGAGGAAATGGAAAAACAGCCACCACAACTGGAAGCTGGAAGCAGTTGCAAAGGCAAGGCCACCAAACAAACTACTTTGGACACAAAATTTTTCAACACGAAAGGAGCTCTGGGAAAAAAAGATTTTACTTCTGGAAAGAGAAAGAGAGGGACTTCAATGGAGTGGGATGAACAGGTGTTATCGGGAAAAATGAAAGATTTTAGGGTTAGTAGTAATATTTCAAAAACAAGTGCGAGTGTTTCATCGGGGTTTCCAAACACGAGAAAACTGATGAAAGCACAAGTTTTTGAAATTGCTTCTCAATCATGCATCATTACTTTTTTTGCTATTGTTTCTCAGTAATTATTGGCCTTTGTTGTCAAATATTTTAGCAGTGTCACAAGTCCCTGAGGACCGACATTGTGGGGTTTGACATTTTATCAAGCTCTAGGGTTTGATATTTCATCAAAGTATAGTGGAAAAGCCTCTGTCGAGTGTTTCATCGGGGTTTCTAAACGCACACATGTGGCCAAATTGGCGTATCCTGACTGGCTTGTAACTTGATGAATTATTAATGAGTTTGAGAATATTATTATTTTACCCTTCAAAACTATGATAAGCATTTCACTTTTGAGGGATTTATGAATGGGTAGTATGATATCTTGTTTACTATATTTGATGCATTTGTGCATTCAGTAGGGAAACAGCCTCAGGCCGGTGTTTCAATAATCTTTGGAGTCCTTTGAAAGCTGGTGTTGGTTTAAGTTTTAATGATGATTGTGTTTTGAGATCTTGTGCCTAATATTTGCATCTTGCATAAAATTTTGGAGCAAGAAACTGCAACACGTTGTTTTGTGTAGGCATTAAAAAAACACTTATGATGCAGTTTTAAGTCCAAAAAAAAAAAAACGGGTAGTAGTCAAGGCAAACATACAGCTGCAGCTGCACCTTAATCTGAGTGTGTTATCCAAGCATGTGTACATGACCTTTAGAAAAGGTAAAGGTTGACAGAGTTAAATTTTTTTTGCAATCATTTTTCTGTTAGGAGGAGCAACCTAAGGCTTTGTTCAAAGTACCTATGGCACCACTTCCAAAAACACCAGACGTGATTCTACTGGAGGAATTTCATTCACGCGGAGCTGACAAGAAGTCTTGTACAACCCCTTTGGGAAGCAGTGGAGATATCACAGGGCTGTACGCGAGTGGTATGGACCTGTTTGGTAATATAGATGAAAACTGCACATCAGGTAATAACTAGAATTCGAGAAAATGGCTTTTTTTTAGCGCTCTGTGATTTGTTTAGATCTCGCGCCATCCTCGGAATCGATCAGATGCATGCAGTTATACCGAACAAATCGTGACTTGGTCGCACGCGTCGTTTTTCCCGCGCTTTGACAGCGTCACCTGCTTCCTTTTGGATTCCTTTCTGACTTGTTGATATATTTGCATTTCCCTTAAATCATTTAGGTAAGATAAGATAAGATCTTTATTTAAACACGATAATAATTAAAGCTAACAGCTTGAGGGGTCGTGTATTTAGTTTATACATTATTGAAATAAGAAGAAGACTAGCTAAATAAGTAAAAGGCCAACACTAACATCTTAATCAAAAGCTTAAGTAGAGAAAGTCATCATTTTTATGGCGGGCAGCTGAAGCCGAAGCAATTTTAAATTTAAAATCTCTAAAATAAGGCTTTGTTTTCAAGTTTCGAAACAGCTCATTCGGGATTTTGTGCAAGATATTACGTTCATTTGAGCTAATAGTGTTCCAAAAGATTGCACCTCCATAGGCAAGGGAATCTTTCATAAACCTAGTATTAAATCTTGGGACTGTCAGTGAATCGCCTCCTTTCAAGGAATAGCCAGTGGAACGATTGATGTAAATATCCTTGTATAATAATTGTGGGAGAGACTCATTATATGTCGAATCTGAAGTTCATTCCAGTATGTCGAATCACACACATATCTACATGTATACATGTACAGAATATATTCCATTTAGACGTAAAGATTTGTATATTGTACAAATCTTGACGTCTAAATGGAAGTCCCTCTGGAAGATAAATTAAGTGAGCATTCGCTTTGTGGCGTTAAACATGTAGTTATCTGTCGAATCTGAAGTTCACTCCGATGTGAAAATATATAGCAGCTGGATCTTCATATATATTTCGGTTTTAATTGTTAATTTTTGTGTTCATATGTGTATCTTTTAATTGTTAGATTTAAAACAGGACAGTGAAAAAGAAGGTGCTTGCTTGGAAGACTGTGAAAAAGAAAACTCATTGAGCAAAATTGAGGTACTAAGCTAGCATTTTGACCACCCGCATTTTCAACCAAATGTAAAATAACGAGTTACTTGTTTTATTTGTTAACAGAAACGTGGCAATGAGACCACACAAGAAAACAGGCGTAAAGATACGAATGAGTGTTTAAAACCAATGGGGGTCAGGTAAGTGGTGTTTGATTTTGTGCATTTCAATCGAAGTTGAGCTTAGGATACATACGAGACGTGCCTACGAGGCTGATTCGCATAGCTAAGGTTTTTACGGCTTGAGGTGGCTAGGAGTGTTGCTATTCCCCCTGGATTGGATGCTAGTCTATCGCAAGTTACATCTTCACTCCCCTTCCCCCGTCCCCCCCCCAGGTCCAATTTCATGTAATGGAAAATACAGTTCTTCACGGGGAAAAACCCTTCTTCAATTTATCTCGCTTCCAACATGTGGCTTCCTAGCTTGGTTGGAAATATTGTAATATAAGCATATTTTGATATCATTATTACTGATATGAATTATTCCCTCTGTTTTTTATAAGGAGTAATGATGCTCAACCAAATTATAAATACGTGGAAGTCGTTCGGAAGAAAGACGAACGAGTCAAGCTAAACGGCTACAAATGTCGTGACTGCCAAGAGGTAACGTACTAGATTACTCAAGAGGAAAAAAATCGGCTCAGGGAAATTGGGAACCAAGACACTTCAGACTAAAATTTGGCCATACAGGCGTGACTAAGAACAGGAAAACGTAGGAATAAAGTAACGAGAACTGTTCATAGAGGCTTCCAAAATAAAAACAAAACATACGAACAAAGCTGGGCTGATTTTTTCGTCAGTTTCTGCTTCCGCGTACGTGGCTAGTATACGTCTTCAAAAACATGTAATTCAGAATTTTTAAGGGTCTTAAAAATGAAATTTTTCTTGACGGTAATGCGGGAATGTCTGGTTTAGGCTTCTGCCCTACAAAAGTTAATACATGTTACTTGGTTTGATTTCATTTTTGTATAGTTTGAGAGCACTTTTTATTATCCAATTCAGCTGTTGGCGGACGTTCTTTTTATTCCGTTTTTTTTTTTTTAGGGTTTATATTGTATTGGATAACACAGTATTCTTTACAGTGTGTTATTTTTTCCTGTCTGTGCGTAAAGTTTTTCCTGCTTCGTAACGACGGGTCATTTAGAAATGAAAAGTTTGACGAGATTGGCCGTAGATTGATTCCTTGTGTTCTCATTACTTCTTGTGGCAATTTCCTCTGTCCTGACAAGCCAGTGTGATAAATTAGGATTTGGGTGTTCTGTCACTTGATCGAAATGCGCCCTGCAATAGGGTAAAATATATCTTTTTTTTTCCCCAGTACTACCAGGGCCTTGATCTTCCCGAAGACGAGCTGAAAAAGCGTTTGAAGCATTGTTCTCGTCACCGAGCGAGGTTTTCACCACCCCCCTCCACTCCGCCAGGTTTTTGGAACTTAAGCTTTCCGGACACCCAAGAGTATATGGATAAGGGCTATTTAAAGACCGAGTCGGAAGCACCGGCTCCGAAGAGACTTCGGAAAACACGGCGGAATAGAATTGCGAAGTGAAGACTCTTCGAAGATTTACGATGAATTCTGAATTTTCTATGAAGATATTTCTATCGATGATTCCTGGGGTTATCCATGTATTCATGAAAAACATTTGATGAAATAAAGATGACACAAAGGATGATATGAATGGAGAAGTGTATTCTATACAAGCCCATTTACATCAGAAAGTGAATAAAGGCTGATAGTTTCGAAAGAAACTGTTTGGGGCTGCGTCGGTGGGAGTAACGAAATAATTTGGATATATCAACAAAGTTGAAGTGGTAAATTGGCCACCGTAACGATTACAAAAGCTGACGTTTCGAGCGTTAGCCCTTCGTCGGAGCGAATAGAGGAATTGTGGGTTGTGTGTGCTTTTAAAGGCAGAGAATGGAGCTACGTTATTGGTGGGAACATGGCAACGAGAAAAACAAGAATAAATTAGTGGAATGAAAAGCGTTCGTTGATCCCTGTGGGATTTAGACTGCCGGTTTGAAAGATGAGCTTTTGTTCAAGATTTTTACGGCTTTCCGTGCTACCTAAGTGTAAGGAAAGACCGCAGATTGCCATATGTTGCTTAGAATGATTAGGTAAATTAAAATGTCTAGCGACTGGTTTCGATGTGTCCTTGTCATTCCTTTCCACGTCTCGAAGGTGTTCTCGGAATCGGTCACCTAGTCTTCTGCCTGTTTCGCCGATGTATATCTTTTTGCAATAAGTGCAAGTTATGCAATAGATTACATTGGCGGAGGTGCACGTGAAGTGATCGGTGATCTTAATGGATCGTTTAGGTCCCGATATTTTATCAGTGTTGTGAATGAAAGGACACGTTTTGCATCGTGCACGAGCGCATTTAAAAGTGCCTGGTTGGTCATTAGTCTGAAAAGAACTTCTGACCAAAAAATTGCCTATGTTTTTGTCGCGTTTGAATGAAATGAGCGGAGGCTGCGAAAAGATAGTGCTTGTCTCTGGATCGTTTTGAAGTAATTTAAAGTTTTTAAGAATGATGGATTTAACTGAGTGGTTGTGAGGGTGAAACGTGAGAGTGAATGGAATGCGGTCGGAATCTTCCTTATGCGACGTTTGTAGTGCTGAATGTCGATCAATAAGTTG